GGTCTCTGCCATTTGTTTACCCTAGTATTCTCTCTTTATGCTTTGGTATGCATTTTTAATTAGATACACTCCAGTTCTTTCACCACTAGCTAACACTTTTATTTGGGAAGCAGTCTTTACTAGCCCTGCAAATATCCGCTGTTCTTTGCAATGTCAAGTCCTTTTCTCACCTTGCTTTGACTTGGTTATCACTTATATCACAAGTAATTCATCCATCTGTTAACTGCTCCAATTCACATTACTTGGCTTTATTTTAAAGATCTTAACAATGGTCAATGGTCTCATCTGGCAGCTGGTTTCTTGTAAAAAATGTGTCTTTCCCAAGTGACACTCTTGTGAGGATCAAAATATTCACTGAATGGGTTTTTATCTAGCAGTTTACAGGTCCCTCAGGCCCTCCATAGAACATATTGTATCTACCCAGTGCTTTGGGCATGCCATGTGTAGCAGTATGGACAACTTCACCTTCTTCAGTTTTATTTCGCTCTTCTCCAGCTTTCTGCCATCTTGTCTTTACGTACTGTTGGTTAATTCCTGTCACAAAAAAAAAAATTATGATACATATCACGCATCTACATGATTGTTTAAGTTAGGATCCAGAGTGTGCCTTAAAGGGAAACCATCAAAGCATTTTGGTGTTTTGATTTGCCATTTGTGAGTGCTGGAAGTGGATTCTGTCATATGAAAAATGGCAAACCAGAAACATGCTCAATACATTTTGGTTGCAAATGGGCATTCACTCTATGAGACTCAATTACAGCTATCTAAAGTAAAAAATGCTGAAATAAATATGTTTAGCCCTACACATTTGTTCCTACTAGTCTGTACTACTCCCTAACACAGACAAAGCCACAGGAGTAAATTGTCTTTATTTCTTGGCCCTCACTACCCAAAATTGGTGAAAAGCATTATACTGGTTAGACACTGCTTTTAAAAGCAATGTTTCAGTCCAATATCAGAAATATCTTAAGTACTAAAGGAAGTCTAAAATTATTTTTATTGTGTCGCAAATAAGGGGAAAATCTCTCACTGAATAAAGAAAAAAAGAAATTAAGTGTAGTAATTAGGTGTTCCATCCCACAGTAATCCAGAAAAAACCCACAGTACGTCCACTTTGCATACCACCTTCCTCTTAATTTACAGTCTTCAATTTACAGTCTTCTACACAGTTATTTAAATAAACTGTCTCTCACAGAGTAGCACCTTTGCAATTGCCAGGGACACAAACCCACTTCTGTTTCCTCATAAAAATTTTCCATAGACACCCCCAACACAAGCATTTCCAGCGAGACTGATTTTTTTTCTTGGCCTTATCTTCTCCAGATGGTTTGTAGCTAGTTCTCACAACTCAGACATTACTTTAAATAGAAATAAAAAGACAAAAGTCCAGTTTCCTTTAGGACTGTATGTGAAACTTGTATTGGCTGATGAATACTGAAACTTCCAGTATAAACAAGATCTTCTGGCACCAACTGGAGGTGGGGTGGGGCTGTCTTTATGGCTCATTGTAGGGAATGTTTGCTTCCTTAATATCCTCTCCCTTCTAAAATGGGATGGATTATATCCAAATATATTGTTACCATTCTTCTCACTCAAATTAAGATGAGTTTTTACTTGTCATACTTTAATGGGCAGGTCTGTGCTCTGGAAGAGATGCAAATAGTTTTGTTTGCAGGTTTTCAATAATCATATGTTTCATGATTAATGAAGCCTCTTTCAAGCCTCTAACAGCCTTCTGCAGCTGATTTGTAGAACTGTTGAGAAGACTAAAAAAAGTAATCTCACTCTTATATACTATCTTTAACTAATCCTGTAAAATTTTATTCATTGTTTGTGACAAGACCTGTTACTACTCTATATGCAGCAAGGAGTTGATCAAGCATTGTACAAGCTGTTGGGGATGTCACAGAGGTTACCATCAGCACTTCTAACTGTGTGAGTGCTTGCCAAGTATAACAGAAGAAACCACTTCCCTATATACAGGTTTGCCAAGACAGAGCTCCAGTCCATTTCTGTGGTGAAAGGCTGCAGCTCAAGAAACTACTATTCCTCCATTACTTTTTCAGTAATAGTTCTAAGCCAAACATAGTTCTAAGCAAAAAAAAAAAAAACCAAAAAAAGTGTGCTTCTGACTCTATTATCCTCTCACAAGAATGACATCAGATCTTGTATTCCCCGATGTATATTCATTCCCTATACTCTGTTCTACATGTTTAAACATAGAAATAAAACTATCTACAACTCTAATATTTTGTCCAATCCACAGTGCATCCTGTGTTCTAATACCAGGCATTCTAAAACTGTATCTTCTGTTGGGTTTGTTGGGGGTTTGGGTTTTTTTTTTTTTTTTTTTTTTTTTTTAATATATATTATATCTCAGACCCGGAGATTTCATCCTGTCCTAGCACAAACCAGGACTATATTTGTCGATATATATGATTTGCAAGAAAATTGTGGCAAATCTCTCAAGGCATTCTTCTCGTTCTACACACAACTCTTAAATTTTGTCACTCAGCTTTGTAAAATTAAATTATTTAATTATGGAGCTTCAGCAATATTGCTGCTTTAATCCAATCACAAACAGACTTAGAGGGGAAATTATATACCAGGAGTTAGGAAAAAATGGTGTGATCTCTTATCAAGTCTGATCCCTGTTGATCACTTCACGACAAGCAAGAATAGGTTAGCATGGGGAAAACAGAAGGAATGTAAGTGTCCAGCCAAAGGAAGTTTTCATCACTTATGACAGCCATCCAAGTAATAAAAAAGGGAACAAACCTCGAACATATTCATTTAGCACTACATTACTGCAAAACAATAAATAAAATCTTCTATCGATTAACGCTGGTTAGACCAAAACAATAAGGGATTCAGTAGCATGTGAGCGAGTGAGTGCCCTTCAGATTAAATGACAATTTGGAAGTGTTTAACAACATATGGTCTCTTTCCTTTGACATATACAATTAAGAATATATCTTTTTTATATAAAAATATAAAATACCATCTGTCATAAGTACCAAGCATGATACTGCCTTTATATATCCAATTAATTCACTATACTTTCTAATGTAAATATTTCTCCTATTTTCTCCTTTTTTGCCTTCTTCTGTAACTATACTTATTTATAAAATTTCGATAAATGTATATATTAAAAAAGTCAATACTATGATTTGAAATGTAATTAGGAATAACAATGAAAGTCTGTTACACTTTGTATTTCAAAGGAGAAGGGCTAAATTTTCAAATGGGTTGAAATGACATTGCTCATTTAAGTCAGTGGGTATAGGCATAATACTAAGATGTAACTATGTTGTTTTTCTTTCTTATACATATTAACCCAGAGGAATGTTCATTTTTCATAAATATTTGTGTTTCTTTTTTCAGAAGTACAGAGTTCCTTAAAGACACATGACTGCAGAGTGAGAACTGAAATATGAGTATTTCTCATTAAGGAGTTAGAATTCCAGTGAACATGGAGGAATAATAGGATTGCTCTTAAAATCATGGTACAAACCAGCAAAATATATAAAGCATTTCGGTTCACTAAATTAATTCTTTACCTCAATAATTTAATCTAAAACAAAAATCTTTGACCACATAATTATTATAATGACTTCTGAGAACATTAAGACATGCACAAGTCTCAAAATACGGCCTCAAGACAGGAGCTCAGTTTTGTCAGGTTAAAACAGGAAAGAACGTAACAGTCTGTTTGAAGCAGGATGCAAGTTTTCTTGTTTGAGGTAGACATACATAGATAGACATACACACAGACACACATAGATTTTTTTTTTTTTTACTCTTTGTTTCTGAGTAATTTGGCTGTGGGTGCAGCAATAAACTCCACTAATAGGTTTTGCATTAGTAACATGAAAAAGAAATGACTGACCCAAAATGTAAACTACAGTTTAACTCTATAGCTTTTTAAGAATCTTTTGGAAACTTTAACTCTTGTGATTCCCTCAGCCTAGTAAAGCTAGGGAAAAGGGATGAAAGAGACCATTATAAGAATATTGCTTTTCAAAAAGGTTGCCCCTCTTAAAAAAACAGAATAGTACGTATCATGGTAATTCCCTTTCTTTTGATTAATTTTATACTTCCTGATATAAAACCCTAAAACTTCCACTTCTGCTAAAGTGTCATGGGAGTGGTGACCGTATCTGTATCTGATGTTATTTCTGTATAATTTATAACATAGTGTCTTTTCACCTGCTTCCATGTAGTTAGTCTGTGAGCAGAAAATGCTGATCATCTTCTAATATTACATTCTCAGTTTTTAAAGGAGCTGTCAAACAAACCACAAGGCTCTTCATGGTCATTCATGGCAGAGACTCCATTATAGAGTCCTAATAAATTGCTTTTATAGGTTAAGTTGTTCCAATACTTCCTAAAATATTTGCAATATTTCAGTAACTAGATATCAATCAACTTTAAAAAAAAAATATTATTTTAGCCTTAAGTTCATAAGAGGCATTGAGATTCACAACTTGATCACATACTGCCTGGAAAAGTATTTCCTTGGCCTTGTATTTTCCTCTTTTAATTTACAAAAGAGTTTTTGTTCCTCCCTTAACATGAGGATAACAGAAATTCCATTTTGCTTCTCTGTTTGCATCAGAGAAATTTGCATCATTCATCAGCATGCTTTTGCCTGACTATCTCCCAATTGTCTTAGTGTGGCAAAACCTCTCACTCTTTCCCATTTCTGCTTCTGCTAGTTTTATGCATATGGCCACTCTCATTGCCCTTCTCTAAATCCTCCTATTTTCTGTAACACTGTTTTTGAGACAGTACACGCACTGTTCCCATCCTTTTATTTACTCGATGACACATTCGTTGGTTCTTCTGCCACCCTACTGTCTCGTTGTTTGAGCACTAGTGACATTCGGCTGCAGCGTGACCCTGAGCTGTGGACGAAGTGACCCCACAGCATTCCCAGCACAGCAGTTTTGGCCGCTTCGGTTCCGCCCGCGCCTCTCCGAGGTCTCCGCTCTCGGAAGCTCCTCCCCGCGGGCCGCGGGGCCGGAAGCCGCCGCCGGGTGCCCTGTGAACCGGGAAGGGCTCGGTTTGAATGAGATCCGGCTGATTCACCGCGGCCCGGGCGGCTCCGGCCCAGGTGAGGGCCCGGCCCGCCGGGGCGGCCGCCCCCGCTCTGCGGTGTTCGGGGAGCCCGCGGCCGAGGGGGGCGGCCCGGGCGCCGGGCGGGGACGCGGGCTGTGCTGAGGGAGCGAGACGGGGCGGGTCTGGCGGGCGGCACCGGCTCGGGGGGTCGGCGGGGCCCGCTCGTGTTGGTGCGGGCTGCGCCCCGGAGAGGTCCGGGCGCTTCGGGGCAGCGGCGGCCCCAGGGCGGCTGCGAACGGCGGGGGAAGGCGGCGGGAGGGGCCGGGGAGCGGCGCAGGGGGGCCCCGCTGCTGGTCTCGGCCGGGCCTCGGCGCCGCACGGGCCCCGGCCGGGCCGCCTCCGCCCGGCCTGTCGTGGTTCGGCAGCGCCGAGAGCGGGGTTGCTGTGCGCTCTGGGCCCCGACACAGACGCCTCACGGGCGGCAGCGCTGCTGCTCCCGGAAAGAAGCAGTGCTGCGATCCCCGGCAGTGTTGCAGCTGGAGCCGGAGAGGGAGGGGAAGTTGGGGCAAAGCGCTGGCTGGGATACGCGAAGGAGAAAGAAGCAGAATTAAGTAGAAAAGGAGCGATAAACAAAATTTAACAGCGCTGTTTCTAGGATGCAGCCGACTTAAGTATCGGATTTGGAACAACTTTATGTAATATAGGTGGATACTTGTAAACAGTTGGGCAAATCTGCGTATATGCTGGTGTCATCTCTTGCAGTTGCACTTGTTTTAGGTGTGCTGTGGAAAAACAGAAGACCACAGGGCTTGAGATTTACTTTTTAGAGAGAAGTTTTATGTAAATGTATTTGAAAGCTGTATGTAGCTGAAATGGCACTAGGCAAACCGAAAATTCTGACAGGTTTGTATTCATCTTAAAGCTTTCAGCCTGTGAGTCTGAGGTGTACTATCTGCCTCTGTTTGTGACCTTAATGAAACACAGAAAAATATCTGTGTTTGAAGAAATTCAGGAACTGGTTTGCATATGAATTGCTTCTGAATCACTTTTTGTGACTTTGAGCAACTGAGTTTAGCCTGTAGCTTAATGGAAAATCACCTGTTAAAACATGCCATGTCAGTGATATTAATTTGATATCTATGGTTTAGAAAATTATAAACTAGGGAACGCTTTAAAATTAGCATTAAATAACACCAACGTATAAATTAGTTTGTAAGCTTTCTTGGAAGTGATTCACTCCTGACAAGCATTATGGGGGTATATACTAATAGTATCTACAACTGTCTTGTAATATCTAGGATGATGGAAGAGAATGATGTAGGAAAGGACAGGTATTGGGAATACCTTGAATAATAGAGAACTGGTATGATGAGTATTTGTTGGAGTTGGTGATGGGATGGTTCCACAATAGTTGTGTGTTTACTTGCCTTTCTGCAGATTTCAGAGAAGTTGTTACTTTATATGTAGCATAAAATTAAGATTAATTTTGTGGGTTTCTGTGGTGATGCAACTTGTTAATGAATCTTTGCTTACCTGTAAGTTTGGTGTGAATATGCTTTAGTAGCTTTAGAGTAGTTTGTTTCAGTCTGTGTTACTTCAGTAACTCCAGCTCAGCAATGAACGTAGTAGAATTACGTTTGCTGTACTTCTAGAAGTCAGAAAGCAGAGTCCAGAACCTGCAGACCTTCTAGTCCAGTTCGTGTCTATTGAGATTCAGGTCTATGTGATCTTGAAATAGGATCTGGATTTAAAGAACTGAACACATTATAGAAGCAAAATAGTTGTGTAATTCTGGACTTGCACTACTGAGACTACATTCATTCATGAAATTAATCTTTAGCTTTAATGAACAGGTGACTGACAGTTGGTGGTAACATCAATATTGTTTTTTTCTCTTTTCATACAGAATGTATAGGAAGATAGACTAGCCCCGCCCCCTCTCTGCCTTTTCATATGTGAAGTATCTGTTCTGGTTTGATGACTTTACCTGTTCTTTTCTTGGCAAAATGATGTTTTTCTGCAATATGTAATTTCTCAACTGATTTGCCCTTGTAGCTGTTTATCATCCCTAGTGAAGCTGAAATGGTTACAGTTGCAGCAAAAACCTTAAACCACTTTTATAGTTGCTGTTAATAAAACTGTTGATCATCTGCTATGTATAACTTCTCAACGGGAGACCTGGAAGTGCTTGTACAAAGATTATTATGTAGTCTCAGGTGGAGAAACTGAGTTTTCGAAGATGAAATGATTTGCATCAAGTCCCTCAGTGTACAAATTGTGAAGTAAATTGCTGTCACCTGAGTCAAGCCTGATACTCTCTCCACTAATATGGCAGTTTAGTAGCCAGTGTTTTCTTTTCTGTGTATGTCGAAGCTGATTTTGATAGTTGTTTTTTTACTAACTCAAAACTTGCCAACCCAGGAGAACTGTCTTTCATTGAGGGATCACATCATGGAGTGTTAATGCTAGATAAAAATAGTGCACTGTAGTGTGAAACTCATGTATCTCATGCAAAGAGATACCGTAATTTAAGATCATGTTTCAAGTTGATTTCAAAATACATGCTGAAACATGCCAAGTATAAACACAGTAGCTGTTGGTTTATACCTACATGTGTATATACATTTGTGCATAATTCTTTGATATAACTTCATCCCTATGTTACCTAAGGAAAAATGTTTTCATTATTAAGAGTCACCATTTAAGTAACTTGAAAGTACCAACGAACAACTGACTGATGAACCAGAGTTCTCCAAATGGGCAGCTCTTTCCAGTTTTTACAGTTACCTAGCAGTAGTATTATGAGCAAATATTAGGCATGGGGTTTAAAATTTCTGTTTTCAGGTCAGTTTTGAGATACTCTGTGTATACTTTCACTGCATTATTAATATCCACAGACTTTTCCCTTTTGAGGCCAGGACAGTTTAAAACTACAACAATGGAAGCATGGATTTTTTAAATACTATCCTATGATCAAGATTTTTTAGTGAAAGTGTTTCAATCATAGACATTCATAAGCAGAGAAGCTACTTAATTAATTTTTTAAAGCCACTAGTTAACATAATAATCTCAGTGATGAGTGTACATCATCCAAATCATGGTTGCACCAAAATGCAAGTTTGTTATAATTATAACTGCCCTTTTGCATTTTCCTGATATGGAACTATTTGATACGTTTACTCACTTCCTTAAAGCCTTACTTTAAACAGAGACTGTTAACTCTTCCTTGCAGATTGAAGGAAACATTATCAAAATACCTTTGCTGACTTTGGAAGGAAAGGAGGTGAGATTTACTGTAAACTGTTTGTTTACTTTTCTGTCTTTTATTTATATGTGTGTGTATGTGTGTGCAAATGTAGGGAAAAAAACAATAGGTAAGTTGCATAATCAAAACTAGCTTTTTGCACTTTGTAGGAGGGAGAGGAAAATTTCTCAGGTATAGGTGACCATGTTGTGTGCTTCTCGGGGGAACATACCAAGCTCACAGAGATCTGTTTCTTTAATACCCTTGTAGTAAGTGGGGAAGGGAAAGCAAGTCGTCTGGGTGGCCAGCCTCTTAAAAGTGAATTGGGTTATAGCTGAAGCCCAATTGAAGAACTGGATGCAGTTCTGCTGTAGCCTGTTCTGCTGGCTGTTGTAGTCCTGGCTCATGTGATCTCTCCTTCTGCAAAGGATCATTTCCTTCTGCAAAGCTGTAGAAGTATAGTAACTTTTCATTTGAATTGTTAGTGGAATTCCACCCCAACCTGTCAGCACTGAGAAACTCTGATTTGTTCTTTCTCCTCTAACTTTCCAGGAAGGTGAACACATCTTTCTTTGCTCTTGTACTACTTTGAGATAAGGTTCAAAAGGGTCTCTGTTAAATTACCTCAATTACTAATAAACAAAGCAAAACAGAAAACCCCACCCAAACAAAAACCTCAAAACCAACCCCCAAACCCACATAGTCTTTGGGCAGCTTTAGCTTAAAGAATGATTTGACATAAATGTCTTCTGGTGTCTGGATTAGTGTTAGAAGCAATCAGCTCTTCCAAGACCTCTTTTTCTGTTACACCAAGACAACTGTTTCTGGGATGCAGTGTGAATCGTCTCAGAGAAGTGAACAGGGTTAAAACCAACATTTTTGTTAGCCTATCAGTTTTACTGCAAGGCTGCACAAATGGCTGTCCTGGCAGTACTGAGAAAGCAGCATCAAGTTGGTAAGCAGCAGCAGCTTCCCCACTGCTCCTTATGTTAACACTGACATTGAAAAAAATGTCTATCAAATCATGGCCACAGATCATTTCACAGATCTGTTTTAAAACACTGCTCTACAAATGATTGAGTGGATGCAATTAGTGGGCAGTGTTCTCTGAGAGGAGGATAACATGAATTTTAATTCCTAAATTGAGTGTGAAGCAGCCTTTCTCAACCTGAATTCAGGCAAACCTAAAGAACTCTTTAGGTGTGACTTTTCCAGTCACACAAACTGCTCCTGCAGAAATAAACAAAACTATCTGTACCTGCAGACTGCTCTTAACCTTGGTGCTTAGGTCATCTTAGCTGGACAAGGTCTTCTAAATAGTGAAAAAGGACCATGGTTTCACTTTCTAACACCATTTTAAACAATTGATTAGCTTTAAATTGCATAAATGGATTATTATAATACTCTTACATGTCATTTTGAGAGTCTTGGAACTTTCAGTGTTATGGATACTTGAGCAAGATGTGGCATATACCACTTCAAGGGATTATATGGTAAAAGGAAAAAGAAAACCCCACAAACATTCTTTGGGCTATTCTTCAATGATGCTTTGTCCTTTTGGGGGTCATCCATGTAACATTTCTTTTTACGTGGGCTACGGTTTCTGAATTTTACCGGTTTTCTCCCCTTCTTTCTACTTCCTTGTGTAGGAAAGAGACTTACTGGTGTCATCTTTACAGTCAAAAAGTGGGAGCTGCTGCCACATTTGATCTGTGATCACTCCTGCTAAGCACCAGGTTAGAAATGCATATTTGCTTTATTTGTAAAGGCTAAAGTTATCTTAATTAAGGTCTAAAAATTTTGCTTAAACTGTTTTAAGGTTTACAAAAACATTGTTTCATAAATGGACTTTCTGGCTGAAATAATATTTAGATACAGTGGATTGACAAAAATTAACAGTAGTTTTGATTTGGTTCGCTAACCTAAATTCTTCAGATATTTATACAGAGTAAACAAATATGTTTAGGTCCAAATATGCTATAACCTACTAAAACATATTCAATTACAAATAGGCAAGTAAAGTAGTGGTTGCCACAACTCTAACCAGAGTCAACTCATGGAGCTAGTGAAACAATTTGCAGTGCATCTAGAACTGCTTTTTGGAGACTTTCTGTTTGTGCCGCTGTCTTAAAAATCTGAATATCTCAGTTCAGTGATTAGTCAGTGATAGTTAGGTGGGAAATGTTGCATCTCTCCAATTGTATAAAGCAATGAGATTTTTTGGTAAGGTTTTGCTGATAAATAATCAGCTTGTTTAACGCATTAGTCTAATCCAACTTTAATATGGCAAAATATGCTTCTATAAATGATGTACTATTCTATTGAGTTAGAAACTGGAATAAACTGTGTAAATAAAATAATAACTAGTTAGTACTAACTATTGCTTTTCACTTGCATTAAAAGATTTATTATTCAATATCGTTTCTTGAATGTACATAGGTAATACACCTCATCAGTTTTTGGAAGTTGTGTAGTTGTAGGAACGCCCAGTTTTATGGTTATCAGTTGTAGAGACCAAGAGTTTCTTACAACCATGATGGATTAAAATAATAATTTTAGTAGTTTAAATTTACTTCTCAGTTACTCTTCAGCCCTCATTAGTGTCACAGAAGATGAATCATTGTGTGTTTCAATGGAGGAGTATCTACCACACAGGGTAAAATGAAATGTAGTTGGCGTTAATTTATGGTAACATTGTGACTGTTTCATTGAAGCCATTTAACATATGCTTACATAATAGCTTTAAACAGCAATTTAACCTTTCCCAGGAAATCCTACAACTTGATTTGGAATTTATTGTAGTTCAGGATAGAAAAGTATATGCACTGTGTGCAGCTTTTGCCTCTAATAAAGAAGCTTGGTTTCAATGACTGTGAAAAAGAGAAGGATAACCATTGACCCTTTAATAAACTCCTTTTTAATTCATACAGTGCCAATGGAGCTTTAAGAAAGCACTTACTGTTAGTTGAGGCTGCAGTTGTTGGGTTCACATGTACCTACAAAATTAAGGGAGTGGATCAAATTAAACTAATAGCTTGGTAATGCATTGGACTGGGAAAGTGAAATTAGCAAATAGATCAAGTATTATTGATCCATGTATCTTTGATATTGTTATGAAATTATTAAAGTAGGAATTAAAATGCTGCTTCTTTGTGTGCTTAGAAGCTTAGATTATTTGTTTTAAGCTTATACTGAAATAAAGCCTATTAGTCTTTAGCCAGTAAAAATATTAGCAAATTTCAGAAGAAATAATGAGATTATATTCACCTTTAACATGAAGACTTTTATTTTTAATACACAAAGCAAATTTATTTTTCAAGTTCTTTTGCATAATTACTTTTTAAAAGAGGGCTGTTGAATTAGTATTGCTAATATAGTCTGAAATCATATATATAATCCTCTTATTTGTAATGTAACATCCATTTGGAGGATGAGTGTATTTCAGAAATCATACTTCCTCTTATCACCTAAACAGGCTTTGTTGTGTTGTATTAAATCTTGTCCAATTAAGATCATAGTTTCTGATGCTTTATTTTGTATCTTCTATTTCACGAATAAAATAAACCAGTAACATTTTCTAATTTCTATACGCCTTGGAAATGGCTTGATTTGCTGAAGACAGCTGTTTAAAAAGTAATATTTGGGGTTTGTTTTTTTTTTCATCTCTGAGTTTTGTTGTATAAAGCTAGGAAGTTGAAAAAGACAAGAAAGCAGGATAAAGTTCTGTGAAAACTGGGACAGAACCTGTACTTAGGTATCCACAATGAAATAGTTGTTGTCGTTTCAACAATAGAAAGTGAAAAAACTGCAGAGAAAGAAACATCACTGTAATATTTTTAGCTGGGGGACCTTAACAGTTCTTATTCCTGGAGATCACTCCTTTGAAACTTGCAAGACACAAAAACTGCGTTTTCTCTTTTTTAAGTAACAAGTTGCATTGATTGGAATAATCTTGTGCTAAAGCAATGGCACATGCAACACTGGAAATGTATTAAGTGACTGTACTGTCACTAGTCTTCTAACTATATACACATTAAATGTTTACTTTACAGTATTTCTTTTAGTATAATGAGTTCATTAAAAAAAGCTTTTGATGCTAATTCAGAGATCCATAATCTGCTTAGTGTCTTTCACATGTAGTTTGATGATAACTGACAAGCTGTAAGTTAATTAGCACAGAACTTACTAATGAGGATGCTAAAATCCTTGCTTTAACATTTTTATTCATGATTTTTGAACAAATTGAAGTAAATTTGTTTTAGGAAATTTTAGGAATAAAGTTTTAGGAACTTTTTGGCTGTAGGTGCTGATCATAACCAACAAAAATCCCCCAATTAATTGAATGATAGGAAAGTTTTCAGAAGTTTGACAAGAGTGCTTGTCCTCAGAACTGGGGATAACCCAAAACCAAAGCAATAAAACAAAGTCTGTTAATTAGCATGGAAGACAGCTTCTTGAATTAATATGTGGTGTTAATTAACAGGAAGTCTGATGTTGTGTTGTAATTACCACCAATATTTTTGACATACTCAGTGACTGAAGGTGAATTATATAGATAGCAATTTAGTAAACATTTCAGAGCTTGGGAACATTTTTCCTTTGTTTCTGTTTTTCTAGAAATATGGATAGACTTCTGCGGCTGGGAGGAGGTATGCCTGGGCTCGGACAGGTGAGTATACAGCTTGTCAATCTTTAATATTAATCAATCTGGAATATTTCTTTTCTTATATTTAAAAGAAGCATCAAAAAAAAAACCAGTTCATAGTAATGATCTTTGACTCTAGGAACTGTTTATGTGTATGCAAATCATTGTTATAGCCTGACATATTTTTTTTTTGTCAGTATGAATTCTTGTTTTGGCACTGAGTTTACATAACATTTATAAACCTTTCATTTGGTGTCTGAACATTTTAAAGTTTCAATTGAAAAGCGTTGGAAACACATAAAAATTTTTTAAAAATCAATTTGCAATAATACGGAATTTCAGAACATGAAGAGTGTTCTAAATGGCAGAACGTATCCACTGCTCCTTCATAAATGATATATTTCAGTCCTTGGGTCACTTTGTGCTGGGGCATTATAAGATACTGAAGTATACGTAAATTTCCAGAGGTAGTTTGAGCTGAATTTATCACTTGTAGGTACTTGTAGCCACCTATATGTGTGTTTTATTGTGTCTTCTCTTGTTGACTTTTGTCCTCACTGCTGTAACATTACTCACAGCAAAAAGGCTTCCCTGCCAGCTGTCCTGTTTCAGTGAGAGACCTATTCACATTGTATGGCTTCTCCTGCCACTGCAGCAAGTCCTAGTGCTTTTTGCCTTGGTCAAGTGGCATGGCCAGCAGTCTTCAAAAATAAAACCAAGCTGATCTTATTCCATTGTGCTGATCACTGTGGATACAGGGGAAAAAAATAATTAGGAACTTCTTTGTTTGAGGTTTGTAGGAAGAGTTATTTCCCTAAGGAACGGGCTCCAGTGTTATTTTCTTTGAGGTCTTGGCTGGCTGCAGTAGCTGGCCTTTCTCTGCCTTTCTCATCTGCCTCCAGGGCTCTGTTTTAAATCAAGAATTCAGACTCTTGTTCTTCTGGAGAAATCAGTTCTGTGTGTCTTGGACTTCAGGATGTGTGTGCCAGGTTGCTTCTGGGATGACTGAAATTGCTAAACCCAGAGCTTCTTTGTGTGTAGAGCCTTTGTGTCCAGTATAACTACAAAGAGGGTTTAATACTGAAGCATTTGGTGAAATATTCTAAGCTGATTTACAAACTCTAGGTGTTTTGCCAAATAAACTGTAACTTTTGGTGCATAATTTTTTTTCCTTTTTATAGCTAAAATTCTATTCACGCTCTCTTAGTGAATCTTCAAGTCGCCCTCAGTTATTTTTAGTTTAATTTTCTTAAACAGTTATTTCTCTTGTTCCTCTGAGCTGCCAGCCTGCTTCATGACTCTTCATTTTTTTAACATCTGTGCAGTCTAATCTCTCAAGCTTTCACTTCTTAGTCCTCTCTGAACTTGACGCATATCAAAGCTGTTTTTCAAATTTACAGTTAACTCTCTGCTGTTTTCTGAATTTTTCATCTTTAACTTAAAGTTTGCTAGAAAATTGTGGCAGACAATAGAATATAACATCCAGAAGAAGCTTTGAACTCCTCCGGTAGCTTTGGCCTGCAAAGCTGCTCTTAAATGAGTTGATGAGTATGTGTTGGATTAAAAAAAAAAAGGCAGAAAACTGAATTGCTCTTTATACAAGTTGCTACTTGCACTGGATGTCTTGACTACTTTTATAGTCTTTTGGTTTATTGAATCAGTAGGAAAGCTTTTTAAAAAAAATATTTTTATCTCCTTAAAGTACTGTGTTTCAATGGACCTTCAAAGGTCACTTCTGTTCTGAGTATCAATTGATTAGTAATTGAGATTGAGAGAGAGTCCAGAGAGAACCAGGTGTCTTTGAATTAGAAGAGAGAAGGCGGATACTTCTTGAATAAACTTTGTAGTGCTAGAAAGTAAACAGTTATTACTATTTGTTTTCACTAAAGTGTTTTAAACGAGTGTACAAAGCTTTTTGTTTTTCTTATTGCTGTGTCACAGTTGTTCTGAGCTCTTGCTTTAAAGGTTGAACATAGTAAAAACATCTGAGTGAGTCATTCTTGCTGGCATAAGAATCCTCTGTGTGTATAGTCTGGTAGAAGAAGAGGCATTTTCAAAGTAGTTTTATCACATAATTTGGGCATTATTTTTTGCTTGTAGCTAGGGGTCTGCTTAGCAAGAGGACTGCATCACATAAGGTATGCTGTCAGTCCGTTTGATTTCTCTGTAACTGATGTTAAAGTAACAGCAGATGCTTGGTCAGCACAGTTCTTTTTTCATCTCTGCCAAGGCATTCTTTCTCATTGACTTGCTTTAGCTTCTTCAGCAGTACTTTCTCAACTCTTTCACCTTGGTAAAAGTACCTCTTCTGATTATTATATTGTTCAGGGTTTTTTGGTTTTTTTCCTTCGTTTCCAAACTCAAATATACTGTCCCAAACGCTCTTTGAATTAGTGTTTTTGCAATATTCTATTCAAATTTTTTTGTGTACTGTATTCTACTCTAGAACTACTTTCACTGCACTTGTGTTTCTCTTTTCTTACTACTTGCTCCTTCAGGATGCTACTGAGTGGCTGATTGGTCTTCACTTATCCAGAGGTGGTCAGTTCTAAGTTGCATCTACCCTAAGCCTGTCATCATATGGTTGATAAACAAATCTTTAAGGAAGTAATCTTCAAGTGATATTTCAACAATAAGCTTTCCCTCCAGTGTTTTGTGGCTTAGAAATCTTGAGCCGTGTCTTCTCTTTTAGTCATAGATGGACAAAGGACTGTCTGTGGGGCAGCAGGTGGACAAGAGAGGAAGGGGGAAGAGAACCTTATAGCTTTTGGCATTACATAAGCCATTCGTACTATTTTCTGACAGTGCACTTGGTCATTAGCTATGTGTTCTTTTTATGGGAAGGTACCTGTATTTAGTTTTGAACTTGATGCCAAAAATATGACCTTCTTTGGAACACTTTCTCATGCAGAAATTGTTTGTCTTACATGACTGGTGTTGTACACCTGGGAAATAACCTCTTATTGTCTTGAATTTCTGCTCTTGTGGTAAATGCATAAGATGAACCAATCATGGAAGCTTTTTCAAAAAGATGTAGGGGAACTGTAAAAGATTGAAAGTGTTGTGCTGTCCCAAAGAAAATGCTTATTACTTTCACTTCCCTCCCTATAGTTAATGGAAATTAAGATTTTGGCAATGCCCTTGTTTTTCTTTGCTTGTATGGTCGTCTCTCTTTCTTCTCCTTCCCTTTATCATGTTGAGGGTTTTTCTAGTTATCTTCTTTTCCTGATTCATTTCCATCTCTCCCTGTTCTTCCCCCTGGAGTACTGCCTACCACAGAATTTCACTAGTGATTTAGTACTTTACTTTGCATTGTACATTTGCTGCAGACAAATTAACAGGCTTTGTGGGGTACGTAAAAGCATTCTACTTATGTAGCAGGCAGGAATTTGGAGCAACACTCCTCTTCATTTTGTATGCTGAACTATTGTTTGCTACTGAAATCAGTTCCACATATGCCTCTATTAGGCAATCCTACTGAGTATTGTTAAAGGGTGTGAGCAAATTAAGTGCATTTTTAGCCGAGCTTTCTCTCCCCAACACTTTCAGAACAATAGTCCAAGCAATACAAGTTCTTGTCCGTGCTAGCACATGTTGAATCCAGATGTGATAGGAAGCAGTGAAACAATGACACTTCTTAAAAATGCTGTTGAAGTAATTTTTCATTACTTGATGGATTTTTGAAAATATTTATTTACACTGTTCTGCTCATGGAGACAACTGTTCTAGTACAATAAATGAAAAATAAAACTCGTTCTGTATTTTTGAATTAACATATTTGATGACAGAGGGGAAGGGAAAAAGTCCAAATGGGAAGGGAGGGGGAGACAGAGAACTGACCTGTATCTTGTAAGGAGTGTTTACACCTTGAGTTGGAATATAGAAAATAGAAGTGCAGATAGCTATTTTATTTGAATCATGGACTTGCCAATTAGCCATCAAGTGCTTCCATCTGTGAAATAGTTGATCAGATGGGTTAGCTGGGATGTTTCCAGATTAGGGCATTGTAAATGGCACTTGAAAACTGTCACTTTGATTATGAGGTTTCAAGCATTGCACTGTTTGATGCTGTGGAACCTTTTTCCCCTTGTATGATCATGAGTTTTTTAGAACATGCTTATCCTGTTTAGTAAATCTGTGGCACCACAGGAACTTGAGAGACCTGCTGCTAATCTAAAGTTCTGTTTGATCTGCTGATCTAGGCAGGATGGTTATTAAAGAAGAACATAGTGCACTCTTCTGCAGGACTTCTGCATAGGAGTTGGTGCTCTGGCAGGCAGAGGGAGGGTCAGGCTCAGTGTAGATCATTCCCAATTAAGAATTACATGCAAGTTTCCTTGGATTACTTCGTTAAGCTGATATGTCTCTTGAAGTACATGACTTGTTCTTGCATCTTACATCTTCCGTATGTAAACAAAAAACCCACCAACAATAAAAAAACTCAAACCCAAAACAAACCCAGACACCTCCATCCCTCCTCTCCAAAAAAAATCCACACCAAAAACTCAACCAGGAAAAAAAGCATACATCTTATTGAAGACTGTTTTGGTTTACTGATTCTTGAAACAGGTTGCATGTTAATTTGAAAGATGCAAATGTGTTGTCTTTAATGAAGTGCTTTTTTCCTTGAAAAGCTGTAGAGTGTTCTTGTATCTCCGTATCTCTTGCACCTCTACTACTTTCTCCTTTCTGTGTCTCTTGGGTGTATATACTTTGTGTGGTTTGAATTGTAGTGATGCACTATTGTCTGCTTCTCACATGTATTTGATGCTTCAGGTACGCCTTTTGACACTACTCTGCCAGGGTAATAAATCTGAATTAGAGCTCTTAAAATTGTGCATCATTTCTGTGCCATTGCTTCTGAGACATTTTCCAGCGAAGTTCTCAAGTATGAAGGATGTTACTATTTCTGGAATTCCAATGTAACTCCCAGTAGGTGAGATGGCGTACAATTTAGGCAGTTTATTCCAGTTCTACTTTTTTTTCCCTGGGAGCTATCAACCCATTTAAAGAATAAAAAAATG